TCCTCTTTTTGCTGAGGAAGACTGGCCCTGGGCTAACATCCGTGCCCATCTTCCTCCACTTTATATGGGACGCCACCACAGCATGGCTTGACAAGCGGTGCATGGGTGCGTGCCCAGAATCCGAACTGGCAAACCCCGGGCTGCCGCAGCGGAGCACGGGTACTCAACCGCTTGCGCCACCAGGCCGGCCCCCGAAAAAATATTTTTGTATAGCTGTACAATATGTTTGTGTTTTTACAAGATAAGTGTTATTACAAAAATGTCAAAAAGTTTTAAAAAATTAAAAAGTTCATAAAGTTACAGTAAGCTAAGGTTAATTTATTATTGAAGAAAGAAAATTTTTTTTTATAAATTTAGTGTAGCCTAAGCATACAGTATTTATAAAGTCTACAGTAATGTCCTAGACCTTCACATTCACTCACTCACTCACCCAGAGCAACTTCTGTCCTCCAGGCTCCATTCATGATAAGTGCCCTATACAGGTGTACCATTTTTTATCTTTTATACCATATTTTTACTGTACCTTTTCTGTGTTTAGATGTGTTTAGATACACAAATAATTACCATTGTGTTACAATTGCCCCACAATATTCAGTACAGTAACATCCTGTATGGGTTTGTAGCCTAGGACCGATAGACTATACCATAGAGCCTAGGTTATGTGGTAGACCATCTAGGTTTGTGTAAGTAAACTCTGTGATGTTCACACAACAACGAAACCTCCCAGCAATGCATTTCTCAGAATATATCCCTATCATTAAGCAATGCATGACTGTATACTCTTCTGGGAACCAACAAGGACACTAAAGATCTGTAAACACATTTTTAATTTACTTTGTATAAATAAAAGTAGAAGTTTGGTAGGTTTTTGTTTAGTTTTGATTTTGACAGTAATCATTGTTATAATTCAGTTATCATTATATGGTCTTGATATCAGGCCTGACAGTTGCTCTTTATTTTGTAATGAATCAAAATGACAAGGAAAGTTCCAGCCAGAAAGTGTGATGAGCCACTTTATCACTATAGCTCATCACCTAAAGGAGGGGGTAGCCTCTGTTCATGAAATTTGAACTGTGTAGTGATGAGTATTACCAAACAAATAAACAGAAATAGCCCCTTTTTGAATGTTTAAACAATATTTGCTGTTTTCTGATTATAAAAGCAATGCATGAGAAAGACGGTAGAGCATATAGGCTGAGGGCACTGGCTTCAGAGTTGGAGAGGCCTTGGCTCCCGTACATACTTGGTCAGTCACGGCTATGTGACCAAAACTCTCTAAGCTGTGGTTTCCTTAACTGTAAAGTGGGGAGATATTATGGTACCTACCTATAGAAGTTTTATGTGAGGATTTAATAAAACAAAGGCAGTAAAATGCTTACAACAGGGCCTGACTTAAGAAAGAGGCTTAAAAAAAAGAAAATCAAAATGACTAGTAAACCACAAGCCACTATTAACATTTTGATATGTTGGCTTTCAGGCTTTTTTCTGAGACACACACACGCATAACCTATATGTACACACATATATATATGTATATATATACCCACCTTTTTTTCAATCTTTTACAAATTGGGATCATATTTTATATACAATTTGTATCCTGCTTAATTTTTCCCACATATCTTTATATTTCCCTTGGCATTAGAGATTATTGAAAACAGATTTTCCTGACCTCATAGTATTATAACATATGACTGTACATAATTATTTAATCATTACTTTCTTGTGAGATATCTAAGTTATTTCCAATACTTTACCATTATACATATTGCTACTTTAAAGGTTAAAGTGTTTTTAAAATCTTAAGACTTGTCCCTTTTTTTTTGCGCTTCTTTGAGGTTGAACTTTTTCATATGTTTATTGATTACTGGCATTTTAGTGAAATACCTTTTTGTGAATGAATGCAACTTATAAAGCTTTTTAGGTAGGATCTCAAGTTTCTGGAATACTGCCAGGTACATAGTAAGTACTCAATAAATATTTGTGGCATGATAAATGAATGAATGGCAAGAGTATTAACTCTTTGTCTATCATATTTGTTTCAAATGTGGTCAAACCTTGAGAAAATTTTTGCCTCTATACATGTACAAAGATAGTGTTACCTTGGTTCTTAGTCTTTATAACCTAATTTTTTTCCGTTCTTTTCTTCCCCCATAGTTCATCCATGAGCTCGGATTTCCCACATTACAACTTCAGGATGCCTAATATTGGATTCCAGAATCTGCCTCTCAACATATATATTGTGGTTTTTGGCACTGCTATATTTGTCTTCATTCTTAGTTTACTCTTCTGTTGCTACTTGATTAGGTAATCAATTTTCATTCTATTTTATTTCAGAATATGTTAAACAATCAATAATAAATCAACTTTCTGCCCTTAGGTTAAAAATTCATAAGTATGAGAATTAGCAAATTTTCCAAAATTAAGGTGGCTTAACATTTTAAGCGTTTATGAGTTATCAGTAAAACACCATTATACAGTCTTCAGTCCTTTCTGCTGATGAGTATTTTACTGTATAGGAGAAAATTGTCTTCATTTATTTTTCCAACATATTAGTACCTGGTCCAGGTACACTTATGTCATTGTCTGTCCCAAAGATTTAATCTACTTTCACAGAGATTTCAAGATTACTTTTCAGCAGGGTGTGTTGCATCATTTGTTAGCTAAAGTCATTAGGGATCAGAAAACAATGTCTAAGACAAGATCCAAGCCTTTAAACGCTGGTTCTCATGGTCTGTCACAAAGATTTTAAGCCCCATTTGTTGTCAAACTGGTCAGGTATTCAGGTGATTGATTATCTGTATAAAACACTAAATCTTCCATAAGCTCTACAGCATATGTACAGACAAGTGAGGAAGGCTAACACCTCACTTGAAGGAGTAATGGATTTGGCTAGTAAAGATTCACAATAGACTGACTTATAATTGTTTAAGGAGGCATTTTTCTCTTTTTAAGTTTTTAAATAGGGCCTAATTTTCAAAGCCAAAACTGAGACTATAAAAATTTTTATAGTGTATTGTTCAAAGAGCTTTATGGAGTAAAAGAGTAGAAAATTGAATTTTATTAAACAACTATACATCTAACAATTTTTAGTGTTTGCACAATGTATGATTATGGTTAAGATAAGTACCACCATCAGATATCTTTCAGCAATAATTCATTGTTGCCAGCAGTGTTTTGGGGCATTCACTTGCTGATGGTCAAATTCTAGTGAATTTAGTGTGTAGTTTCTGATTTTCTGACAAGTGACTTTCATTCTTCGTAGAAAGGGAATCTTTTCTGAAGTTCTCACAAAATGTAATTGCTCCTTATATCTCCTAGATATATGATTTTTAGGTCTTGCTCAGAGAAATAAATTAAGTACTTAGCTAATATAATTATAGCATTTGGGAAAAACTTTTTAAAAATCTATTTCCAGAAATTTCCTTTTTTTTTAAACATTTCTTTAATAATAGTTTGCTTAATACTTACGTTAACATTTATCATTTTTTTTAAAAGTAGGCATTAGCCATACCACAAACAAGACCTCACGGCATTAAAATATATTCTTTTTTCAGACCTACTAAATTTTTTGATAATTCCTCTACAAATAGTGATTTAACTCAGAAATTTGTGAATTTAATATTTGAGACCAAATTATTTTTTAAAAGAAGACAAAAATCATACAAAAATACAACAAAATGTAAAAAAAGGAAAGGTTCATTAAGGAAGAGTTATCATATATAAAATATTCTAAATGTATAGCTCATAGTACAGTTTTTATTACTATGTCAAAGAATTAATTAAGCCTTTAACTTTTTTGTTTTAAGAAAAACACTAATATACCAATTGTAATTCTGGGTAGACTTGTTGAGAAATAGGTTGTGAAACACCGTTTACGTCATTGTATTCCTTTTAATAATCAAGAAATAAGTAAAGACAAAGAAAAAAATGATAGAAATTGTTTTCATGCATTATTGTTGTATTTCATTTTATCCTTTCAGGATCCTTTTTATTGTTTTTTATCATTAAGCTAACAAAGCAAATAAGTGGGATCTGCTACGCTAAAATAAAATTATCTTGTTTAATCAGAGAAGCCAGTCATGTTCAAACATTTCTAAACTTCATTTACAAGTCGTCAGTACCATTTTGGAAAATTTAATCATGACTTAAGGAGCTTTCCCTTTCTGATAATCCTAGTTTGTTACTTTTAACCTTTAAAATGTTAAGTTTGGATGTAACGAGTCATTTGCAGTTAATCTGGAGATTCATGGATTCAGCTCCTCTAAAATTACCCAAGCCCATTTTTGTTGTTGTTGTTGTTGTTGTTGTTGTTGTTGTGAGGAAGATCAGCCCTGAGCTAACATCCATGCTAATCCTCCTCTTTTCGCTGAGGAAGACCGGCTCTGAGCTAACATCTATTGCCAATCCTCCTCCTTTTTTTCCCCAAAGCCCCAGTAGATAGTTGTATGTCATAGTTGCACATCCTTCTAGTTGCTGTATGTGGGACGCGGCCTCAGCATGGCCGGAGAAGTGGTGCGTCGGTGTGCGCCCGGGATCCGAACCCAGGCTGCCAGTAGCAGAGCACGTACCGCTAAGCCACAGGGCCGGCCCACCCAAGCCCATTTTTGAACATAACTTAAGCTTTCCAGCACTTTCCTAGGGGCTCTTCTGTTCTCAGGCAGAAAGATTTCTCCAGTCACAGCCAGACTCGTCAGAAACACAGGAGGGATACAACTTAAGTCTAAAGGAGATACCCACCACCAACCACAATCTTACACAACACTGTAGTATAGAATCTGCTGCCTGTGATAGGGCTATGAATAGATCACTACTGGAGCACAAAAGAAGGACATCTTACCTTGCGAAGAGTGATCCTATTTTATAACGAATCATATAATATTCTAATTTGTGTGTGTTATTCATCTCTCTCTGCAGATAGATATTTGTTTGTTCTGTTTGCTGTATTCCAAGTACACAGAACAGTGCCTGGCACAGTATTGGCACTCAATCAATGTTTGTTGGGTAAATGAAAGAATGGTGTCCCTAGTAGGAAGTCACCAGATATGCATAAAACTGAAAAATCAAGAAGTAGCAACACAAGAAAGGTATTTAGATACATGGAAATAAATATTAAAATAGTGAGCTAAAGGGGAAAAAATGGTTATCTCTGGAGAAGAGGGCAGAGGACTGCTGATTTTTTTGTTACTAACCCTGTAGAACTATATATGACTTTGCAATATATGCATATATAATTGTGATAAAATTAAAAACTAAAAGTAGAGGAAAAATTTTGAGTTACTTAATAGAAATTATAAGGTCTTGAACCAAGATAATAACAGTAGAGCTAGAGAGGGTGATATGGATAGTTGTGAGAAATATTTGGGAAGTGAAAATGAACAGAATTTGGTGACTGGACATTAAGGACAAGAAAAGGATGAGCTTAGATTCTTTCCTCGACTTCTGGTTTAGGCAGCTGGGTGGAGAGCAGCAGTCCCTTCACAGAAATAGAAAATGGATGGTCATGTTTGGGGTGGAAGGATGATAGATTCTGTTTCAGACATGGGAGGACAGAATAACAAGCAAGATGTTTAGTACACAGTTGGATATATAGGTCTAAAGCTTATGAGAAGTCTCATCTGGAAATAGGAGGTCATGTAATAAGAGGTGGAAGCTGAAGCCAGAGTGTCTCCTAGAGAGAATGTGTGTTGTGAAATAAAATGGGTCCAGGAAGAATCCTAGGGAAACGTTGATATTTAAGAGGAGCCCATAAAAAAGACTAGGAGAGGGGGGCCAGCCCGGTGGCACAAGTGGTTAAGTGCGCGCACTCTGGGGTTCGCCGGTTCGGATCCAGGGCACGCACCACTTGTCAAGCCATGGTGTGGTGGCATCCCATATAAAGTGGAGGAAGATGGGCATGGATGTTAGCCCAGGGCCAGTCTTCCTCAGCAAAAAGAGGAGGATTGGCAGATGTTAGCTCAGGGCTGATCCTCCTCACAAAAAAAAAAAATAATAAGACTAGGAGGGGATAGCAGGAAAATCATGAGAGAGCTGCCCCACAAGTTAGAGTTTCAGTGGATTGAGTTAGTTTTGTCAGCTGCTTCCAGGGAGGTCCAGTAAGAGAAGAATTGAAAAGTTCCCATTACGCTTGACAGTTAGGTATGCATCTATAATCTTTGTTAGAAAAGTTTCAGTAATGTGGGTACGGGGTAATGAAAGGCAGGCTGTAATGGGGCAAAGCCTGACCAGCAGGTGAAATGAATACAAGGAATATAACCTCCTCTTTGAAGAATCTTGGCTGAGAAAAGATTGGGGGAGTGAGCAGTTGCTATAGAATCAAGGAAGTATTTTGGTGTTTGGTTTTTTTTTTTTTTCAAGATAGAGATTTGGGCATATTTTAATACTGTATTATAATATTTTTATTAATATTAAGGAGAATGAACTAGTTGTGGATTTGTGAGAATGAATGAATCATGGAAGTGAGAAGAAACACATCTAAAAGTTATAGTAGTATTAATCCTAAGCAAGAGAATAACCTTATTAAGACAGAGATGAAGGTAACTGTGGAGCACAATATACATACAGGTATATGGGGCTGGGATCGAGAGAGCTGCATACCTGACAACCTTTCTTTCTCTGTAAAGTAGTTGAAAATGCTGGGGAAGGAGGTGGTAGAATAAAGCTTGAAGAGAGTGGCTGGGTTTGAAGCGACTACTACATGGAAGCTTGGGATACTGAGCATGAATAGGTAGAATTAGAGAGCAATGTGGAGGGTCTGGCTGAGAATGGAGAACACAGATTTGTAGTGGCCATAAGCTACATGGTTTTATCATTTTCTCCAGCACTGTTCAGCCTTGTTAATCATGTCCTCTTAGATACTTTTTTAGGAATAAATATTTATTAGGCACTTACTATGTCAGATCCTGTGCTGTGCATTGCAGTTAATCTAGGTAATTTTATTATCTTTATTTTACAGATGTTAAATAATTTTCCTACAGACACACAGATAAAAGTTGGTTAGAGCTGGGCCTCAACCCAGTTGTGTCTGACCCCCAAGTTATGTGCTCTTAACCACTTGAAAAGTAATAATAAATTGTATTTATCAGGCTTCATTCCAAAATAACTATTTAAGAATTTCATAATCACTCTCAAAAGACAGATTTGTATATTGAGGCTATCTAAAACTGTTTTTTTTATTTTGAACCTGGGATTTTACTTATTTATTTATTTATTTATTTTGTGTGAGGAAGATTAGCCCTGAGCTAATGTCCGTTGCCAATCCTCCTCTTTTTGCTGAGGAATATTGGCCTGGGGCTAACCTCTGTGCC